CTAATGAGTGAATTGAAGCTGGAGTAATAGCATGAAGAGGCACTGCCCACAGAACAACCATATGAGCTACAAGCATTTTACTTTTCAGGAAAAAATAACTGGATCGTTGGTCGGTCCAAAATCCCTCTATTTAGATGAAAGTCAAATTTACAGTTTATATGAAATTCTTTGTCCCAGAGTCTGGAGGAAGAGTAGAGATGGACAAAATTCAAGTTTATACAGTCAGGGATCGGATTGCCATTACATCTAATGTTGGTCCTCTTGGGCTAATTTTCCTCTCTACAGGAAAATTAGCCCTTTACCAGCATGAATTGGAGTAAGGTTTCACACCTGACCTGAATGACAAGGTGATTAAGAGCATTTTGCAGCATTTGATGGCTGCAGAGGAGGTAATGTAATCACTTGAATTGTGTTTGCTTGAGTAGAGGCAGATCTTATACATAACATGTTGGGCCCAGAAGACCAGGGTGAAGAATCTGAGCCTTTCACACCTCCATCAGCTGATAAGCTTTATATATAGATATTTCACAAGATTTTTAGATCTGGCTCCAGGTAACCAGTTACGACTCCTATACAGTTAGAATTGATTTTAGTCAAATTTGATCCAATAATCTGATTCAGTTGGTTGAAAGTTAAAAGGGTTTTAATAAGTCATCTCCCATATTGACGAAGCTGTGATTTGACAAACGTAAAGAAAGAACAGAGATGATAGCAACAGCAAGTCTGAGAGCGACACAGCTAAATGTTAGGACAGAATAGCCTCTGCTAACAATTAAAAACAGGCACAAAAGGAGAAAATAAAGGAAATGGTATCAGTTAGGTCAGACATGCCCAAAGTTGGTCCTCAAGGACTGCTGTCCTGCTGGTTTTGGAGCTGATTCTTCTTCTTAGTGAGGTTTATGTAACCTATCCATATATTCATTAATTACTATTAAACATCTTAAATTATCTTGAATAATGAACACCTGAACTAATAACCAGATGCTCCTGTTCTTCCCTCCATCACCAGCTTTGTTAAATGGCTTTCCCAACGAACTTCTTTGTGTCCCAAAACCTTTGGCTCCTCTTGCAACAATTCTGATTTTCTCTGTCTTGTGTTTGGCTTGGTCTGCAGCACAGCTGATTTTCATTGCTAGCTGATTAACAGGCTTTTGCTGAAGTGCAATCATTAGCTAATGCAGGGGAACCTTTAAAACCTGCAGGACAGAGGCCCTAGAGAGCGAACTTGGGCATCCCTGAGTTTAGGTCAACTGTGCTCTTAATGGTAGAGCTGTGAGCCACATGGCAAGGAGGATTTTTTTTTTCTCTTTTATGGTAAAGCAAAAATTATTAGGTTAATGGCAGGCACTGCTCAATCAGCGGCTTCCTCCAGGAGACAAGGACAACGACACTGAGTCGGGGTAAGAGTACTTTCTACGTCAAAGTTAATCATAGCAGCTATACACTGAGCCAGAAGCGCTTTTCAATACACAGCTTGTTCTCCTTTAATAGAAAGTAACATGTTTTTCTGTTTTCTTGAATTTGTGGCTGAATTTAGAAGGATTAGGATAATTTTTTTTAATGATCTATTTTGGTAGATGATAAACTTGACTTTTCTCTTGAATTTTCCTCCATCTCCATTGTGGCTTTTTAGGGGAATAACTTTACAGGAACCATGTTATTACTGATTTACAGGAAACCACTGGCAGCCAGCCGAGCATGACTGGGAAAAGAAACCAAACAGAACTGGTCAGAGGCTAAAATATCTCTGCTAATAAGTCATCAAAAATGATCTGTTTCTTCATAAGCCTAAAAAAAGGATAAATCCTGTTCTCTTCTGATCCCAACTGCTCTCATATACACAGTCTGTTCATCCCCAACATCAAAATCAAAATAACACACCTATTCCTCACCGATGATGTGGTCAGCACTTCTTGATTTATTTAAGATGGAGGAATAGTCACCTATCATTACCTCTCATACCGTCAGCCGCCTCCTTTGTGGTTTCTGTGCCGCAAATTCTCCACCTGCTCAGCTTCATCTTAAACGTGTTTGACATTCCACCACAAGTCATTCACCACCACACTTACTTAAGAGTTACTTTTCAAAACTTGAAGACAAGCCAGATCATGCCTGCTTCAGCGGAGACGTGTATTGTTTATCACCAAGCCCTTCTGATTGTGTTTGTACTATTTAGGCCTTGATATGAAGGAAATAAAACAGTTCTGTTACTTTTACAGCAAAAAAGCATTAATTGAAGGCAGGTCAGCAGCCATGTAGATGGAAAATAACACTTTGAAATGTCCAGAAATAACAATACACATGTTAATTTGTTGATGTGTTTATCCCTGATGGAAGCATTTCTCTTGGATTCGCTGTCAGCAGGTTTCTTTAGAAAATAAATGATTTGATTCATGCAATTGCATTGAACAGACCTGTTTTGTTTCTGTTTTTCTGCAAATTGTTTTAAAATCATAAGCCGGCAGTGTACGGGTTAACAGTTTCTAACTAGCTTCTGGTCAAGTTCTCAGCTTCATTGTGGGTCTTAAGGACCAGGTAGGTCTCCAAGGCTTCAGATCCTCCAACAGAACACCAGAAATCTGTTGTTCATGCAGTGCTTTATAGATCGGAAAGTTTAGTGGAAGAAAAAAGGTAGGCATAAAGCTTTTGTAAAATATTCAAGATCAGAGCTTCCAAAGGCTTTAACTGAAGCATTCCTTCTCAGGCTATATCTGAACCAGGGATTTCAGAAGCGTCTTACCCTTTGCTTCAGAAAGAAAGGTTTGTACGGCTTTTTAAATGGTCCTAAATTGCCTGTTTGGATTTCATTTTATTTGAACAATCCAAGTTCTACAGTTTGCAGGAAGAGGGAAAGAATCCAGGTTGTTTTGGGGTCACTGTGACGTTTCCATAGTGATTTGAAGAACAATCTTCTGCTGTTGATCCAAAGGGTTTTATCATTACACATGTACTAGGCAAACACAGACACATAATGAGTTATATATATATATACACACACAGCGCATAGCACATCATTATCATTCAAAATAACTAGGGAACGAAACAGAAAGACACAACAGACTAAAGTATATTAACCTTTTCATAACATGAGGACCCAAATTTGGGTCCTCAGCACTCGCCCCAAGATGGTTTTTAGACCTGTAACATATTCTCTGGGGTCTTGCCTTTATTTTGATACCAAAACAATTAAAATAAACTTTGCAGTTCTTGAGATATATTCAATTCATTTTGGGCATGTTATTTTCAAGCATATTTCTCGAAAACAGGCCTAGTGTCCAAGAGGGAATAATTGCAGTTTTATATATGAAAATCCTTGACTATAATTTGTTAAAGAATAATAAAAAAAATTGTCCTACAGCTTGTCTTTTAAATGTCTAAAGGGATAAGCCACATAAAAACTAAAAAGAACCTCAGACTGATGCACCATGGATTGTAGAAATAGAAATGCTGCCTCACGGTGGTGACTTTGTGGTAATGCTATTTAAACCATAGACTGCACTATTTCCAGATACAGATACTTCACTTCCCTGAATTGAAAAATTTGTAAATCTCCTCCCTTAAGGATATACTCTATTAATCATCGTAGGGCGACAGTGGCGTTGGATGTAGGAGTTTGCCCTGTAATCGGAGGGTTGACGGTTCAAGCCCCGACTCCGACTTTCATTGTCGTTGTGTCCTTGGGCAAGACACTTCACCTGCATTGTCTACTGATGGTGGCCCGGTGTACGGCAGCCTCGCTTCTGTCAGTGAGCTACAATGTAGCTTGCCACCATCAGTGTGTGCGTGAATGGGTGAATGAATGTAGTGTAAGGCGCTTTGGTCAAGTCTCCTAACTTGAATAAAGGCGCTATATAAGTACATGCCATTTACCATTTACCATTAAAAATATTAATACTTTTGAAACTTATTTCTGCAGATGTGCATCTCAAAATGTTTATATTGATTCACAAATAATATTTTCTGTTTCAAAGCTTATGAAGCTCAGTCTGATTATTTTTTTTGTACCTGACCTTATTTCAAACAAAAATTCAAATATCCAACTCTTCTTTCTTCATTTTGTTTATTAATGAAGCCAATTGTTCATCTAAAAATGAATTTTTGCTGACTTTTACTGTTTAGTCTTTCTGCAGAGTTTGCTGACAGTGTAGTTCTTCTTCCCAATGCATGGGAAATCCACTAAAACAGGGACTTTTTCATTTTTCTTTTTATTGTTTGCAATCATCAAAGAGTGTTGCATTTGTTATCATGCCTGTGTGCATGTGTGATGTTTCCAGTGGTCAGTGGTTGTCCTTGTTTTGCAGAGTAATCCCTCAGTCTGTCTCTGAAACAAAAAAAACCCTGAAAAAAGAAAATCAACCAACTCTGGAACCACAGAGTCTGATTCTTGTTCCCATGACAAAGTATTGCTCTCAGTTACAGACTAAAATGGAATACAAGAGACCAATATATGTTTTTACAAAAAACACAAACATAAATCAAAGGAGACTGAAAAAAAGAAGAAAAAATCAGTGTCCCTGCATTTTATGTTTCTAAATACATTTCTCTTTGTAAGATTCAAATCCAGTTGAAATGCTGTTGAGGTCAGTGAGTGTTTTCATGCGATACCTTCTGCACAATCTCTGATCTAAAAAAAAATATCACAGATCTCTCCGATAGAGAAAAGTGCAAACATGATAACGCATACCAAAACTTTAATTTCAGTTGCCGATATAAAAAATGTTGCTTTGTTTTTTTGATTCAGAATATTCAAAAATCTGGCTTCAACTTCATTCGTGAGCTTCTGTGTTATTCTCGGTAAAAGAAAAAAGTACTTTTAAAAAAAATCTTTAAAAGACCAGATTTTACAAGATCGATGCAAAGGAGTGCTGTATGTAGAGCTAATAAAGCAACCAGTAGCATACTACTTATTTTAAGTAAACAGATGTAGGTCCTCCCATTGACAGAACTTCTCTTGCCTGATTTTGTAATTATTTTAAGTGTCAAACGCAAAAAGAAATAAAACAGTTTTTCAAGTTTATTAACCCATTTTACAGAGTGTTTATGAGAAGGGTCTAAAAATGTATTTACACTGTAACAGGCCAAATTTTGGGCGGTTTGTTCTTCATGCAGTTTGTGGCGTTAGTGTCACTAAAGTCTGTTTACACCGATGGTTGTCCTTCATCGACGAAGCTGAGCTGCACGTCCTGCAGGTTCAGCAGGGGACTTCGGGGATTTGTTTCCATGCTGGAGGTTTGAAGAAAGGGCTGGAAATGTGACTGCGGACAGCAGTGGGATGACGCTGGGGGGTGGGAATGGGGCAGAGTCTGTGAGTCAGAGATGGGTTCTGATAAATCTACTAGGAGGGGGGTGATAAAAGATGTATGGCCTGATGGAGAAAGGGAAGGGATAGAGGAAGAGGGGCAGGGGTGTGTTACAGCTGTGTGCTCATGAGGAGAGCTGTTGAGCGAAGGTGGAGCTGAGCGATGAGAGAGCGGGGAAGGGGGGCTGACCTGCTGGGAGACGGGGGTAAGATCAAGTGGAGGGGAGATGTTTGGAGAACAATGGAGGGAATCGAACTGCTCCTGAAATGGAGGGCTTGCACTCAGCTGAGGTGAGTGCTGGTCAGGGACCAGGACGGAAGGAGTGTTTTGGCTGTCCAGAGGATCTACTGGGGTTGAAGTGGTAGGGCCTGACAACCAACAGCGAGGGGACACGCTGGGAGGGGGAGTCACAGCGCAGGGCATCAGCAGCGTGGAAGAATTTTGAAGGAAAGGTTTGAGGAGGCGGGTCATTTCCTGCAGCTCCTGACTCACAGCTGTCACCTGGCGGGAGAGGATGCACATCTGGGGAGACGGAAGAGAGACAAAGTAGAAAAGGTCCAAGTTGTTGGACATTTATGCAGACCTGTTCAATAAATAAAGACTCGCGTGCATTTCTAAGCCTGTTTGGAATTTTTTTTCTCCTTTAAAATAGGTTGCATTTTTGTTTTAACTGAGCCATTTCAAATCGTTTAACGTTTAACAGGAGTCATTTTACACACGTTTCTTCAAATCTAAATCATTTGGATGATTTACCAGATTTACCAGAAGAAATTTAACTTTTAGCTGCTATCTACAATTTCTTTTTATAGATAAAATAAAACAAAAAACAAGAAAAAATATGCTTTCATTAGTATATTTTTATTGTCTCAATGATTGAATAAAACATTTGACATAGGAACAAGATAATTTTTGCCTAAAATAAGAAAAAAAAGAGATAATTGATGGTATCCATCTTATTTTAAGGGCAAAAGTAAATTAAGTAAATTTAAAAGTAAATTTTGCTGAAAAGGTACTTTTTCGAAGATTTTATTTTCTTATTTAGATCAGCAGTGTTGTATAATACAAAAAGATTTTGCAAATGTCCTTCAAGAATTTCTGTCACTAATATTGACCAATTCTAACTGAATTTGTAGTTTTTCTCCCCTCAACTTTATAAAAGTAACAAACAAATAACTCTATACTGTGATAATATATTCATCAAGATTGATAAAGAATCATTTTGTGTAAAGTCAGAGACGAATGGTTTCTTTTCAACAGGAAAATGGGTTGGTTTTACCTCATTTTTTAGCTTTTCAATAGTCTGCATGGTGTCACCTCCATCCAGGGGCCCTGGGTACACATAATGGGAGGTTCAAACGGGAATTAAAAAGATTATTTAATGCTTGTTTATGTAGATTATGCCTTGTTTGGATTGTTACCTGAGGTGGCTGAAGCAGGGCTGGGTAAAAAACTCTGTGTTGCACTGGGAGTAAAGTCAAACCTCTGAGCAGAGCTGGTCTGGTTTTCAGTCTCGGTACCATCGACAAACCTGAAGATGCACAGTGAGATGTTACAAAGCCATAATTGATTGCTGTTACTTTTGTGAGTCTTCTCAAAAAGGACGATTTATATCAGCCTGATTTTAAATATTCTAATTTATACTTATGCAGTTAGGAGAAGATCCACACGGGGGCAGCAGACTACTGCTAATAATGACTAGATATCTACTATACTAGAGTAGAATCACAATTTACCTTATCTCAAAAACCTGGGCATAGTTTAGTCTAGACAGCAGAAGAAAAGTGAACTCAGTAATTGGATTTAGCTCCAAACTTGATAGATAGTAGAATGTCACTATTACTGCTGTAGAGATGCTGAAGTAATAAACTAATCCCGCAGAGCACTATTAAAGTTCTAATTAGAGATCTGCCGCACAGCCCGACACTATCGGCAAACAATTCAATTAGAAATCCTACTCTTGAGTCTGTTAATGACTTGATTCACTCCCACTCATAATGCTGGACTCAAACAGTTTTTTCTCAGGGTCGTGAAAGCAAACACCATCCCTCTGGAGGTAAGAATGTCCTCAGTAAATCTATGCGCTAACGTGACAGTTGAATAATACGCTTTGTTTCCAGTATGAGGAAGAGATTGTTTGCAAAAAAGGTGACATAAAAAAGTCATATTATACACAATTTTTGTGTATTTTCAACCTAAAAAATGTGTCAATACCCATGAACTGAATATGCCTAAAATATTTTAAGTCTGAGGTATAATAATGGCTGCACTATGTGTTCTTTGGGTAGAAAATCTCTAGTAACTACATGTTAAATATATGACTAAGAAAAACAGAACTGTCCAAAATGTTGGAAATTAAAAATAACATAAAGGAACAAAAAGGTGTCAAAGTAATTGAAGAACTGTTTGCTACACCATATCTAGGCTTGACCTTGCTGGCTGCAGTTACACGGGTTTGTTGAAGTCACATCAAATCAGTTTATTTTATTTACGTAGTGCCAATTTATAACACAAGGATCTTTGATGAGAAAATTAAATCAAATCATTCAGATTGGTTAAAGGTATGCATATTTTACCTCTCCTGAATCAATATACACTATATTGCCAAAAGTATTTGCTCACCCATCCAAATTATTGGAATCAGGTGTTCCAATCACTTCCATGGCCACAGGTGTATAAATTCAAGCACCTAGGCATGCAGACTGTTTTTACAAACATTTGTGAAAGAATGGGTCGCTCTCAGGAGCTCAGTGAATTCCAGCGTGGAACTGTGATAGGATGCCACCTGTGCAACAAATCCAGTCGTGAAATTTCCTCGCTCCTAAATATTCCACAGTCAACTGTCAGCTGTATTATAAGAAAATGGAAGTGTTTGGGAACGACAGCAACTCAGCCACGAAGTGGTAGGCCACGTAAACTGACGGAGCGGGGTCAGCGGATGCTGACGCGCATAGTGCGAAGAGGTCGCCAACTTTCTGCAGAGTCAATCACTACAGACCTCCAAACTTCATGTGGCCTTCAGATTAGCTCAAGAACAGTGCGCAGAGAGCTTCATGGAATGGGTTTCCATGGTCGAGCAGCTGCATCCAAGCCATACATCACCAAGTGCAATGCAAAGCGTCGGATGCGGTGGTGTAAAGCACGCCGCCACTGGACTCTAGAGCAGTGGAGACGCGTTCTCTGGAGTGACGAATCGCGCTTCTCCATCTGGCAATCTGATGGACGGGTCTGGGTTTGGCGGTTGCCAGGAGAACGGTACTTGTCTGACTGCATTGTGCCAAGTGTAAAGTTTGGTGGAGGGGGGATTATGGTGTGGGGTTGTTTTTCAGGAGCTGGGCTTGGCCCCTTAGTTCCAGTGAAAGGAACTCTGAATGCTTCAGCATACCAAGACATTTTGGACAATTCCATGCTCCCAACTTTGTGGGAACAGTTTGGAGCTGGCCCCTTCCTCTTCCAACATGACTGTGCACCAGTGCACAAAGCAAGGTCCATAAAGACATGGATGACAGAGTCTGGTGTGGATGAACTTGACTGGCCTGCACAGAGTCCTGACCTCAACCCGATAGAACACCTTTGGGATGAATTAGAGCGGAGACTGAGAGCCAGGCCTTCTCGTCCAACATCAGTGTGCGACCTCACAAATGCGCTTCTGGAAGAATGGTCAAAAATTCCCATAAACACACTCCTAAACCTTGTGGACAGCCTTCCCAGAAGAGTTGAAGCTGTTCTAGCTGCAAAGGGTGGACCGACGTCATATTGAACCCTATGGATTAGGAACGGGATGTCACTTAAGCTCATATGTGAGTCAAGGCAGGTGAGCAAATACTTTTGGCAATATAGTGTATATAACAGTGAAAAGCCTTTTAAATGCTACATTGTGTCATTGACTTGTAGCAAGCTTCTCTACTGAGAATACATGTATCTAAAGTGGAAAGAAAAAACCTCCCATTTAACAGAAACTTTCAGCCAAAATAGGCTCAGATAATAGAATACACACACGGAATAGAAAAGAAACAAGGAAGAACTGATAACTTTATATGGAAGAGAAAAGTAAAAGGTTATTTGCTCTAGAAGTTCCTGTACTGGCTTCATATGCTGGGGTTCAAATCTAGAGGATGATGGAGGGTACGTCCAGTTTGTCACAGTAAAACACGTCTAATAGCTATGTATAGAAGAGATACAGCATTAACAACTAAAAGACTGGACCAAGCTCATCTTCTACAGTATATAGAAGGGGAACAGGAAGTTACGACCCCCTACAGAATGGCATCACTACTGAACAGAGCAACCAGGACAGATGTAATTACTATGAAGAGAAAAAGCAGGGATAGGACATGAAGTTGCAAGTTGAAATTACTACAAAAATGTAAAATTGAAGAATAGTAGGAGATTGTAGCAGCATGAGGAAATGTGGTATCTATCTAAACCCTATAGCAGCATAACTACAGAGAGAGCTCGGGTTGGGTTAGCAATCTAAACTGTATTAAAGAGGAAGTTTTAAGCCTACTCATAAAAGTAGACAGGGTGTCTACCTCATGGACTAATATTGGTGGTTGGTTAATTAAACCTCAAATATAACTTTTTGAAATTCTAGGAAGCACTTGTAAGTCCACAGTTTGGAAAAAAAAAAGTGTTCTGTTATGGACATAAAGAACAAGCAGATCTCTGATAATCATTCAGTGATTGTCATACCAACTCACATTTGCATGATTGTGGTTTGACATTTGAAGTCGGATCCAGTTCAATAAGCTTAATATGAAAGAAGAGAGATGGGTCAAGCTGAATTAAGCAGGACACAAGTTCAAGAGTCTAACAGCTGCAGAGTAGAAACAGGTTTTTTCCCTAGTGGTCTTGCTCTGGATCCTGCTCTGTAACCTGTCAGAGGGAAGAAGCTGGAACAATCTGTGTGCAGGATGTGTGGAGTCGCTCTTGATGTGTAGCACCCTAACCCTGGATCTTGATAGGTAGAGCTGCGAGGTGGCATGAAGCGTGCTACCTACAATCTTCTGTGCAGCATCGACCACCCTTTGCAAAGCCATCATCTCAGCAGCTGCCATGCCACACTGTGATTCAGCTGTTGAGTACGCTCTCTACCATACAGCCATAGTTCCTCAAGCCTGAGCTCCGCAGTCCAGCTATACGCACCATCCTGAGGAAGTAGAGATGTTGATAGCCTTCCTTAACCAGACAGTAAGAGTTGGCACTCCACCACCTACCTCTTTAGTGTTTACATTAAAACAAAGGTTTTTGTCACTGCACCACTGCACCAGGTGTTAAACCTCCTTTCTCTGTTTTGAATTATTGTTTGTGACATGTTCTACTTCTGCTGTGTTGCAAATTTCACTTATACAGTATGACAGTTGAGGTGTCTTGCCGTGCAGTTATGTCTGCAGCGTAAACGGAGGGGGGGTCAGCGTGCAGCCCTAGGGTGAGTCGAGGCATTGCTGAAGGTGATGGAAAATGAGATAGGGTTGTGGATCCTGACAGTTTGAGGTCTGTTTGTAGGGAAGTCTATGACCCAAATCCCCAGCATGGTACTCAGTCTAAGAGAGGAGAGCTTCCACAAAAAGGTCTGTTTGATGGTGGTGTTGAAGGCTGAGAAGAAATCCAGGAAGAGCTATGTGGACCGCCAATAAAATGGTGTAAGGAATTGTTTCCTCCTGGAGGTGAACTGATTTGGGTCCAGTGTGACGTCATTTGAGTCCTTGATGTGGGTCATTAATATACTCTCAAAGCACTCCATCACTAAAGATGTTTCAGGCCACAGCTCGGTCATTCAGACCCATCACGTCGGACAGTAGTGACAGACCTTAAGCAGCTTGGCTGATGAGGCGAGATTTCCAACAACACCTCAGGCAGCTGTTGTGCACAGTTTCCCACCCTGGGATGTTGTTGGACCCTGCAGTCTTATGGGGGTTGATTCCCTGAAGGGTCTGCTGTGGTCACACTGAAGAGCATGTCACCAGGATGTGAAACAAGTCTGGTGCTGATGGAGGTGTTGGGATCCTCCAAGTGGGAATTGGATCTTGAGTCCATCAGGCAATGACTGGTCCTTTGGGCATTGCATCTCGGATGTAGCCTGTGTTGCATTTGTACTGTGGGTCATTGGAGGTGAGCTGAATTTCCTAGACGCATGGGTATTTGGCCCTCGCAATGCCTGCAGTCAGTCTTTTCTTCACTTTTCAGTGTACTGATGCCTCACTGTCCTTAACATAGCTGCTCTAATTATTAGCACAACTCTCACTTTGGCCTTTAGCCAGTGTTTCTGGTTTGGATAAAGGGTTACGTCATTTTAGGGGTGGAATAATCGAGACACTTGAGGATGAGGCTGAGAACAGAGGAGGAGTGGTTTCCATGTCCACCTCTTCCTCATTCGGAGCCGCCTCTAAGAAGACCTGCCAATTTGTGCAGTGAAAGCTGTCCTGGAGCACAAAGCCTAAATCCCTGGACCACACGATGACTGCTTTCTTAGTTGGCATAATCAGTCTCATCAGTGGTTGGTGTGCTGATGCTTGCAGAATGGAGATGTAGTCAGAGGCGCAAAGAGGAAGAACTCTGTCATTGGTAAAAATTGGGCAGAATGTTTCATGTGATTAAGCAGATTAAGTTGAAACTTTGTTGGCATCAGCTACTAGCAGGATATGAACAACAGTGGGGAGCACAACAGTACATTGTAATATAATCTGTTCTATGGCCATAGAGCAGTAGCTTTTTACTAGTCCAGAATTTGTACACCGTCCTTTATTCACATATATACAGAGCCCTCCTCCCTGGGTTTTTTTGCAACCTTTGGTCACCATCTACTAGGATGAACTTTAATCTGGAAGGCAGAGTCCGGCATGCTGCTGTTGAGCCAAGTTTCTGTTTGGCAAAGAACAGCTAAAATGTTCATCCCTGTAAAAACCCTTGGTCCCAGTCATAACCGGTCTACTTTGTTATCCAGTGACTAGACATTGGCCAGCATGTGTGTTGCCACCATGGCAACAATTATGTGATTGCAATGGAATATTTAAGTAGTTTTATACAATGACAGAAAAATTCTATAGTTTATTAGCAAAAAAGTTGATTCAGGGGTAAATCCTTTGAAAGTAGAAATTTAGTAATCCAGGTTTTCATGTCTTCAAAACATGAATGCAATGTAAATAGTTTAATCATGATCTAAGGATGAATTTAAACTACCTGGCCAAAAATAAAAGTGATAAGTAACATTATGTTGGTCCATCTTCAGATTTGATCATGCCATACATTTGCTGTGGCATTGCTATTAAAATTACCTACAAAGTCATAAGATTTATTTTCATCCAGTGTTGCATTCATTTTACACGAAGATCTTGTATTGAGGATGTGAGAGCATAACCTCTGCTTTTTCTTCTCAAGCTCCTCTCAAAGATTTTCGTTTGGGTTAAGGTTTGGACTATGTGGTGGTCAGTCATTTGGGAAAATGTCACATACTCCCTTTACCACTCTCTCACACTTACATCAGGCTCATTAGGGAAGAAAAATCCATTGATGAATGCATTTGGTATTCAGTTTGTAAACTGACCTCATTCCTAGGGTACATAATGTTGCATAACAAAGACCTGACCAACTGCAGCAACCCCAGAATATATAATTTCCTCCACATACTTGTACAGTAGGCACAAGGCATGATGGGTGCAGTCCTTCACATGCCTTTCTTCTATCCCTAATCTGGGCTCATCAGACCACGTCACCGTCCTGTAGATCATGGTTCCTCAAATGTCTTTAAATGCTTCCACACCTGCCTATATGGCTGAATTACCTCCTTAGTAAAGTTCTCAAGAGCCTTACCAATGACCTGTTTAATTGACTCAGGTTTGTTGAAGCATACAAACATCTAAAAGGTGCAGGAGAGCAGAGATCATTAACAGTGGCGCTTACGAAATGTTTCATAGGGGGGGGGGCAAGAGGAGGCCAATACAAATCTTGGCTTGGCACATTGAAACTAAAAGCCATAATTTCAGGGTTTGCCTGTAGAATTCATAAAGACTTAAGTAAGTTTTAAGTATCTTGATTTATTGTGTGATTTTTAATGTTACGTCACAGGCAGTGCATAATGGGATGAAATGCTAGACTAATGGTACTACAACTTACCATGGCGAGTGGGTTGGCCAGGGCATTTCACAGAGGGGCCTGGTCTCCCCCTGGTGGTGCCACTGTTCATCAACCAGAATTGAGAAACCCTGCTCTAGATTAATTCTAATGTTAAAACTAAAGCCCTACCAATGCTAAATTAGCTTTGTTCCTGCTATAGCACGCCTCTTGCACTCATTAATAAGATTGATAAAAGTGGTATTCCAAGGTGCATGTAGAACTTAGAAGAGTTGCTAAATGGTACCATAGCTACTATTTTCTTTACTGTTGAGATGTGACAAGAGCTGATCCCTATTCTGCATGACTTTTTCTAAATCTCTCAGTTGAAAAATATGCCACAGACTTCTTGTACCTGCTTGAAAATGTATTATTATAGAGAGAGCTTCCCTGAAATATTGTCCGGCTGTCAACAGGCAGAAGGTTAAAGGTTGAGCTCTGCGACAGCAGATGATGGAATGTTGGGGAGAAGGAGCACACACCAGCATGACAATTACCAGCCAGACTTCTATATGTTTACAGAACTGAAGAGTGTGAGTGACTGGCCCAGATTCACCATTGTTAGATTTATAAATGGTTTTATATAGACAAAAAAAAAATCAGGTTGCAAAATATGTTCTGCACATGCAAATGTACAAATTATTTCTACGCTTATGCTTTGAAGGTCATCAAGCAATTTTTATATGAATGAATTTAATAAAATGTCAGCTGAACATCAAATATCGATGTACCAATAGCTACAGCTGAAAACCCTAAGTTTAAACAGCCTGCAAGGTTTTTAGGTATTTAATAGGCTCCCTACCGAGGGCTGAGGTCCGGCTGTGGGCACCTGAAGCTCACCACAGGGATCTGCAGGCTGGAGGGTCGAATGGGCTCACTTATTGGTCTGAAAGGTCTTGGTGGCAGCAGCGGGGAGCGAAGTGGAGAGCGCAGGGGGGAACGCAGACCTCGGCCCAACCTTCCCAAGGAAGACATCTTGGGGAGAGGAGAGTGTTCCCCTTCAGATCCAGAGCCTTCTTCATCCTCCTTGATGGAGGGAAGTTTTTTCACAAAGCCTCCATTGCTCTCACAGTCCGCCTGGATGGAAGAGATCACAACATGAAGTGACATTTTATTCCTTTTTTTCTGAAGCTGCTTCTCTTAATTGTGCCATTGACGGCTGTCAAACTACGTATTAGTATGCTTACGATGAAAAACGAGAGGCCGTTATTATACAAAAGTATTCACCAATATAATGCAGATGAATTTAAAACGTTGAGAAGTCGGAGTTTCTGGCAACATGTTCTTAGTCAACTGAGAGCCTGACTGGACAACAAAAATGGCTATGTAACCTGACCTCTGTTGTTTCCCAAATAAGGTTCTCTTTGGTCAGTTTTTCTGCTTAGCAGTGTCTCTTTATTAGAAACGTATTTTGGCAGAGCACTGCTCTTTATATTTCCTCTTAATTAAACGTATCCCAGTCACAGTGCTTCTTTGTTTATCTGCAACTACCTTGTGGATTTCCTTTGGCATACCTTTTGGCAACACTGTCTCTCTGCTGTCTTTGTTTTTGCAATAGAAAGTAGCTCAGATTTTTGTCTTTAGCATTGTCTCTTTTCTACGCAAAGGTGCACTGTTTGTAAAAATATCTTTATGCAATCTTAGTTTTTATTTTATTTTACCACAAGAGCCTATGTTTAGATGGTTCCCTTTTCTGGACGAGGCCATTAAAAGTACTAACTCTATTCACACTCCGTGTATTTTCTATTGTTTAGCTGTGAGTCTACCCTGGACCAGGACAAATCCACTATCAAAGCTAAAGCTACCTTGTACTGAATATATTATTCTATTATACTTTTTATTTAGCATCAAAAAATATCCTTTTTTTTTAGCCGTCTCTTTACTGATATAATAATGGATTTCACTGTGATTTTTATTTTTTTTTTCTCTGTGTACTTTTTGTTTTTCATGCCTCTTAAAAGTTGTTGTCCAATTGATTGTATTTAATAATTTCTACTCATCTGTATTAGCACAGCCTTTTCTGTCCCTAGGCTTCCTTTAGATGGCCTTTCATTAAAGGTATACTAGAGGATTTTTGCGAATTTTTGAAAAGCACTGCCCTCTCCGCTTTTAAAAAAAGATGCAAATTCAAAAACCTGTACCTGCTCCCGAGAGAAAACGACAATTAAACAAGTGTGAGAGCATGAATGAGTCCATTTCTCCTCGTGCACGCTGATTAAAAATTGCTGTTTGCATCGCTCATACAAGCGATGCAAATTTTTTCCCTATGTCAGACTCACCACCGAAAAGTGAATATGGGAGCACATGGGACGGCCTTTTGTAAATATATCATTAGAATGATAGACAGTTAGGAGGACACTTATTTAAATGAGCCACCCAGAAAAAAGAACATCCTCCATTATACGTTTAAAGCATAAATTAATTGGATTAAACTTTTGAAGCCTTTCCTGATTTTGGAAAACACTAAATGTAATGGACGGTAGTTGAATTAGACACATTTTTCTTAAAGTGCCTAAGAATGACATGTGGCTTGAATTGATGCACAGACTCCCAGCCAGACAGTTGTTTGGAAATTCTCCGTCTGTCTTTTAGGATACAGATGTGTAGTCAGCCAAGACGAACTTGAAGGCTTCACCCAGCTACAGGCTCTTTAACCACTCAGACAAGGCATTTCAGCACTGCCAGACCAAGACACCCCTGAACAGTAAGTATTCCTGGGTTTACACTGAACATTTTGGGTTCTATAATATAGACAATGTTAGAAAGAGATTTATGCTAATGTAATTTATTTATTACAGTCTCATTTAAACTTTTTTTTGAGAACTTTCACTTTTACTTCACTACATTTACAAAGTTAATTGCATACTTTTACTCTGATACATTTTCAATATTTGGTTTAGTTACTAAGTATAAAAAAAAAAAAAAAAAAACCAGAGCGAGAGAAACGCAAGAGTTTTGACCCCACCTATTGACTACAAAGTTGGGTCTTGCCTGGGCTTGTTCAACAACACCAATAGGATATATCCTATTGGATCAATCTATATATATAGATTGGTCACTAGGGACTATTGTGAAATCTTGAGCATAACGTTATCTGTATAAGTGAACTTTGTTTGGCATTGTTTTCAGTTCCACACGTGGTTTATTAAGCGTAAGCTAAATGTTGACTGTAGCAGGCTTTTGAAGATGAACAGAAAATTTTAAAGTTTCAAGTGATTATGGGGCTATGTGCGAGGATGACCACAAGGGGTGGTTAAGATTTGAAGGGGAAGAAAAAAGTCAAGGGCAAAAGTGTGGAGGGGATGAGGGGCTTGTGTTTACAAAGTGTTTAAGATTTAGTTAATTGGCCTGAAGTGCATCTTTTTTTCTCTGGTGTGATGTACATTTAATTTCAGCACTATCTTTTTTTACGTTTTAAGGTAGTTTTACAAAAAATGTCTTCCTCTTCAAATGCCAAATAAGCTGCAGTTCCCTCCCATTTAGTTTTCTTTAGTAAAATGACCTGTTATGTGTGCGCCTTTTGTTTATGAAGTACAGTAATTTACAGCTTTTTTTTTTCTTCATCTTGGCCACATTTACAAAAGGGGCTTCAAACTGGACTCCCTATTCAGATGCCAGATAAGCTTCAGTTTTTTTCCTTTTTTTGTAATGATGTCAATAACAGTAGCAGTAATAAAACTTGGTCTAAATTTATCCTACACTTGGTTGTGTATATTATTTTAAGTGAATTTAACATTCAAAGCTTACCAAAATGTAAAAAAAAAAATGCAATTCAAACTGCACTTATACTTATACTGTACTTATACTTTTCACTACTTGAGTATCTATTTTTCTGCATCTATTTATACAGTAATTCTTATACTTAAGTACAAGACATTTCAGATACTTTAAGACTTTTACTCAAGTCATATATTGGAGAGGTACTTATACTTTTACTTGACTCAGAGATTTCAGTACTTAATTCAACACTGGTTTATTGTACATGAAAATATCAAAAGATTAAAAGGTATTTTAAGCTGCTCTAATATTTCCTAAAGTGGATACTGTTAGTTTTTTCCATATATTATTAGTTTTTTCTTCATTGTCTGCTTAACAGTGCTGATTTTGAAAACTGTCTGTTTATCACTTCACTTTTTACTCATATGGGGGAGCTGCTGAGTCTTTAAAAGTAAGAGTGAAAGGGGAACAAATACCATTCATGAGCTGCATTTATGCTGATGTCCATTCAGCTTATGTACAGCACTGCAAAGGAGCATCTTCATTCAAAACTAAGCTAGCATGAAAATCTTTGTGGTTCTTAAGATGAAAAATATGAAGGATCTTATTATGATTGTTTATCCTGACAGGCTGCATTAAAGCAGACCTGCAGACAGCATGTTGTTAAGTGCAGAAGTTTTTATTTGTATTTTTTGTCTTGGCTGTATTCTCTGAAAACTTTCTTTTGAGGCTTTTCATCACGTTTATCCCTTCTGTTTGTTGTCTTCTTCATCCAGTTCTTGGCTCACAGGCCCAACTGGTATTTATAGATCACAGAGGTTTATATTTAGCAGAGGTCTGCCTCTTGAGAGGTGATGGTGGGGGCGAAATGAGGGGAGAAGATAACTGTTTAGAATCAAGTGTCTGTTTTTATGAGAGCAGCACGTGCCACATGCAGTGTGGCAAGAAGATTGGTGTGTTTGCAGGTGTTTATGCATGTGCTGCATAAGTGCTATGATGCATGGTGACAAGCTGACAGACAATGCATGCTTTTGTAGGATGAAATGTGGCACAGTGTTTTGGTTGTACTCTGAGAGTTAATTCTGCTTCTTTGTGCAAGGACATTTCTGATGGGCTTAGATACTGTATGAAGGTGTATAAAACTGCGATATGGGATTTTCTGCAGTGCATGCACAATGACATTGTGACCACTGCAGTAGCATGATGTTAATAATTTAATCTCAAGGTGAAGCATAGCTTGAGGTTATGGTAAGGTTCAGTCTTCAGGAGGAGAATCTAATAGATGCAGACAGGATGAAAACACAACTGTGACTGTGTGTTGGCACGTGAACGCATATATCAGCGAGTTTCTTCCTCTTTTCCTCCCCTGCCACTTCCCTTCATTCCCAATGTTCTATCATCTTGTCTCCATCTGGTTGGTGCTCTATTTTTATCCAGTTGGGGTTGACCCTGTCCCTCCCCCACCAATCTGACAGTGCTATTTTTAGTCTCCAATCACGGTTGATTGAGGATGTACCAATGAATTCCCTGCACGTGCATATATGTTGCATGTAATGTCCTATGTATTTCGATTCCCCTCCCCTCTCCCCTTTGTTAAGTATCATATTTTCCATAAAAATGAAATGATTTTTACGGAGATATTAAGATAATCACTGCTTTTAACACACTCATATTAACTCACACTCAGATGAATGCTGAAGACCTGTAGGTCTGTTTTAATTCTCTAAATAAATTGCAGAGCTAGGAGTTTTAATGCAGTGAAGCTTCATTTAGCAAAAATCATTCCCACAGCATAAATAGAATTAGAGGTTGGAGGATGCTCTCTCTGGCAGATATGAAACTGAAGTTTGGTGACCAGCTCAGCTGGCATAAAGATGAGCAATGAGTTGGAGCATCGGAGCAGAAGAGTTATTAACCTCCACCTGGCTGCTGGTTATGGCTCAAAGTTTTAAGTTTAAAAGCTTTAACTCTGCAATAGATTTACATCAATTAAATTTATAACTTTTTTTGTCTAGTCACATAGGGGGTTTCCAAAAACATGTGCCATTTAAGTGCCTTATAGGTATAAAAGAGTTTTTTTTTTTTCACAAATTAAGTGTCCAGATTCAGCTAAAATTACTTAATTGATTGCTGGCATTCTTGCACTTTGGTTGCAAAACTTCTGCTGGACAGAAGTTTTAATTCTGTAGTAAGTGCTGTTGATCTTTTTAAATTATGAAACATGTACAGTGATAACACTGGGAAAGACCTCTTTTTATGGAAATGTAATTCTAAGTGCAACCTGGCACTTTATTGCCTCTCTAGGTGAAAAATTACGGCCAGAGGCGTTTCCAGTGTAGAAACCTTTTGCAAAGGAGGGGGCACTGACACATACGCAGGATTCAAAAATATACAAACAGCCTTTGGCCATATCTTTCACCACGGAATACACTTTCCTGCCTTTAAACAAAAACCTATGTCTCATTTAGGTAATTCCTTTCTTAGTATATATTGCTTGAACTTATTGGGTTTGAAGATCAGTGCTCTGTACATAGCCTGAATGTCCCCAAAGAATTAGAATAAATGGTATTAAAGGAATAGTACACCCAAAACATGATTAGCCTTCATTTTCTACTCACCCCCATGCTGAACAACACTCTGGAGTACTTTTTTGATATCTCAAATGCATCTGGAGATCTGGGAGGCTTCTTGCTGTCTGCTGACATTCAAATAATGGAGGTCTATGGCGTCCGAGGCAGAAAGGTGCATAAAAGTCCACAAAAAACGTGTCAATATTCCTCCATACTGCTCGTCCAATGTATTCCAAGTGTCCTGAGTGGGTAGCGTCCAGAATTTACTCGAAACAAAGTCATTTAGAATGTTTTTAGAGCATAAACAGTAGTGTATAGGATTTCCTGAAAGAGCGCGCCTGCGAGTTCACGACGCTACGGAAACCGCGGCAGACCAAACCAGATGAGTGCGCATTCAGCTCGGCAAAGAACTCATGCTCTTCCTCAACACTGAAGTCCTCAGACATTTTTCTTTCGTTGTTTCTTTCTTTGCACAGGTAAACAGCACATTTATTCTTCTACGCTTGCATTATCGGCAGAGCAGACGCTGAATGCGCACTTTCATCTGGTTTGGTCTGCCGGCTTCCGTAGCGTAGTGAATGCGCATGTGCGCGCTTTCAGGAAATCCTATACACTACTGTTTATGCTCTAAAAACATTCTAAAGGACTTCGTTTCGAGTAAATTCTGGATGCTACCCACTCAGGACACTTGGAATACATTGGACGAGCAGTATGGAGGAATATTGACACGTTTTTTGTGGACTTTTATGGACCTTTCTGTCTCGGGCACCATAGACCTCCATTATTTGAATGTCAGCAGACAGCAAGAAGTCTCCCAGATCTCCAGATGCATTTGAGATATCAAAAAAGTACTCCAGAGTGTTGTTCAGCATGGGGGTGAGTAGAAAATGAAGGCTAATCATGTTTTGGGTGTACTATTCTTTTAAAGAAAAAGAATGTTTCCTACAAAAAGGTTTTTTCTGTTGTCTAATCTGGGACCCGGTTGGGGGTCTGTGGTCTCAGCAGAGACTCAGACAAATTATTTAGGGATCAGTCCTTTTTTGTTTCATTGTACGTGTGTTTCTGTTTTCTTGAACCCCAGTGTAGTCAGCCACTCGCATTGAGCCTGGTTCTGCTGGATGTTTCGTCATGTTAAAAGGCTGTTTTCCTCTCCACACTCGCTGCATGCTTGCACAGTTTGAGGGACTGTAGTAAAGTCCATGTCACAATACAAGCTAATATCTACTGCCTCCTCATCCAGGAGCAGCAAATGCTGCAAAGCTAGTAACTCAATGAAATCAGCAGGTTTTCTTAGATGAAAGCTTTTAACCAATCTGTCTATATCATTTAATTGAATTGTCTCTGTAAAGTGCATTGAGATGAAATGTGAAGTTAATTGGTTTTATTTAAATAAATTTAATTGAACTGAATTAATATGCAACACAGATTTTCCCACCATCAAAACTTCAAATTGATTGGATACAGCAATCTTTTTTTAACACTTCAAATATATAACAGTGTGTAAAATAAATGTCTATCATAAAAGTTTAAATAAAATCAATTAAATTCTTTGGTTTTGTAATTTATGGAAAATACCCCACATATATATTATTTTTCGCCCATTGCAATACTGTACAGTATCTCACTGGAATCACTGCTCTAATTAACAAGGTCACTCGGAGAAAATGCGACCTAGCCGTTTTTGACAGAAGCCGCTCATTCATGTAAAGATTACAGCTGAGATGTGATGCTAAATTGCCAGCATCTGAATCTGCAGCTCATGTTTGTCATCTGTTGGCTGCCTCTCAAGCAGAAGCAGTGCGTTCCTCTGCTCCCCCCACAGACCAGATGGCTAATCCTTCTCAACTGCAAAGGCATTGCATAAAAAATGTGGGGAAAGAAGAGTTCACAGATTAGAAAGGCTCAAGATCTAGAGTGTGCTGCAAGCACTCATACAGAAGTTTAAAAAAAAATAAAATCCTGACCCATATTTACTGTTGATAGAAGTAGGATCCAGGTCTAGGACATAAAGGTAACAACATGCAAAGTCACTGAAAAGTTACAAAGTTCATTCTGAGGCTTTGGGATTTCAGTGAACCAAAATAAGAGCCTGTTTTACAAATTCGATAACAAATGTGTTGCAACTGTTATCTAACAGCAGCTTCATGCACAAATATGCAAATGACCTAAAACACAATCATCTAATGCAGTTGTCCCTGCTGCAGAAAAAAAAAAGGAAACCGATGTTGCCATCTCCATCTTCCAGTCCACGAATCGACAAAAATGGTAGTGCAAAATGGTAAACACACCATGAACTCCACCTAAAGGATGCTACCTTTTAAAATGGTCAAAGTTGTCATTTTGAAATATGTTGGAATCCTTTGACACCTAGTACCAATTGTCTGGGAAAACGTACCTTGAAAACATTACTTAACTCTATGTGACGATGTTGCTTTTATCCAAATGCTTATGTGGATAGTTTGCACTTTTTGTTTAAATAACTGAGTTTAGCCATTTTATTTATTTTTTCACTTGTGGTTTCACTGTTTTGATAAGTTTTTTATATTTTGGGTATTTTAAAGAACATCTGGTTACAGGATTTAAAGTTATTTAGAAAATTTAATTAAATTACCATAATATGAAGTTAATAATAGCCATTATAATAATGTCTGTTGATTTATTGCCCGGCTGAATTTATAACAGACCTATCAGGTATTAGTCTACCTATTCTCAGCAGCAATCAGAGAGCATCACTATGCTTTAAAGCCACAGTAAACTCAAAGGATATACATATATATATATATATATATATATATATATATATATATATATATATATATATATATATATATATTATCTGGTGCTTGTCCCTTTCTGCCAACTTATACTGTGTCGAACAATTGTCCATATATTTTATATATTAAACTGCCATCAAACCAGTGAGTTGCGGTTGTACCTCAGTGGTGTGTCCCTCGCGCAAGTTGTACGTCAGGTCGTGCTGGATCTCAGTGAGGAATTTCTGGGCGTAGTCGGGGTAGAGGCTGAGCACCTCGCGGAGCCCTTTGAGGCTGATGTACTGCAGGTCGCAGTAGGTGAGGGCCTTTACACAAGCATTGGTTTTGATCACCTCCTCCTGGGTAAGGCAGTCGGAGCCAATCAAGTCACCCCGACCTTAAAAGAGACACAGAAACCTAAAGATGAGCATCAAAAAATTATCAGATGCTAGCGCTCATTGTTAAATCTGCGCATAGGAAAATGAATTTCTAGCATTGAGAAACAATTTTTAAAGCATTCAAAGAAGCATCACTTCTAAGAACATAACAATACTTGTCTAGTTTAACCGAAAACAATAATGGGCATGATGCTGCCACTGCCATGTTTCATTAGCTCCATTTCCATTGCAAATGTCAATAAAACTATGTCGATAATCTGCTAATTAAAAAAATTCTGATTATGCAATTGTGATATTTTCATTAAATAACAATCCAAATTGTTTGCGAATACATTTGTTCATGTGATAACTCTGAAAACAACATGGAAGTGTAAACACTTGAGATGTATCCTTAATTCTGCCATGCCTCTAGGGGGCTCCATCATCCTCCAACTACTTAGTCTTCGTCGTCTTTTTAAAAGGCAGTAAGGTACAGCTTCTACGAGAAAAGATCTCGTAATTATGAGATAGGCTTTCAGATTTTTTATTTTATTTTTTGGTGAATGCAATACGCTTCCATACAATACGCTTCCGGAAGCTGCAGATCTTATGATGCGAAAAGTGTTTTGCAAAATCAAAGAATTTGATATGAGCAAAAAAAAAACAAAAAACATATCATCAAAGCATTAAAAAAAAATTTATTATAAAACATGAGTTCAGTCAAAATTGCAGTGTTTCCATTTAGTAAATCTATTTTCGTAATCAAAATTTGCGCCATTTGATTCATGGAAATTCAGCTCATGTAATCATGTTTTTTGTTTGGAGAGGTTTGCTCAACCTCTGAAAGATGGAGAATGTTTCATTTCGGATAAGAGACCAGCCCACAGCATGATGCAGCCTCGGCCATTGGCTGGAGGAAATATAATTTTGATCTCTTCTCTCTAGAGTGCCATTTGGTTCTCCAGCATGGCTTGAGACAGGATTACACTTTTCCTGACTTTCTTTAGACATCTAATGAGTATCCATTGCAAATATTTAGTTTATTTATTGGGGCTTTTTTTTTTTCTTTTTTTTTTTTTACACGGTGTCCTGTCTGGCAATGTGGCAATAAGAATAATTGTCCTGATGCCAAAAAGAGCCTAGCAGATTTTGCTTTCACAAGTGGAGCAGTACGGCTATCGCCATAGTGTTCCGCTTGATTTATGCATAAATAGCTTTATTATAATTCATCTGATGTATTCATACTGAGAATTCTTTGCAAACATTTAGTTTATTTATTCGGGTTCTTCTGAAGGTGGTTCTTTAATGCTGTAATGTATAGAGGGGCTGAATACAAATGATAGACTTAAAAAAAAAACATGAATGATTCTCTTTCAGTGCGTTATGTTACTTTGAGTTGTTGTTTTCTGTTTCCTCTCATTTCTTACCATTTCCACCTGTGCTGCAAACCCAAAGTAGCACCTCCAAAGGATTTTAATGCATGCCTATGGGTATATAAAGTAAAATAACCACTAGGAAGAAAATAGCATTCACTGAGCACCTCTCTGTTAGCACAGAAGAGAGGGTCATCTATGGGGGGAGGAGGAATTGCTCAGTGCTGCTGTTCATTTTAATATCCACATGCCTGTGCACAAGCACCAAACTAATGAGTACAGCATCTATCCTCTGTGGGCAGCGCTCATTTTATTATTTACAGCAATAGATCTTTGGTATGAAATGCTGCGTTGCTATTTTTCCATCTTTTTTTTTTTCTTGTCGAATGAGGCTGAACTGTTTCCAGGACTGTTTTTGGATTCTGTTTGTACCTCTGTATTCTGTTTTATCTGCATTCCTTGGACTAGGAGGATTGTCAATGTGCTTGTTGTGGGACATGACCCTGGGGATGCTCGGTTACGTACCGAAGGGGAGTAATACTGACAGACGTTTGCAGCTTTACCTGGCCAATCAACCATTCAACTAGGGGGAGAAGCAATGATTTTTGTGATTTCCTCCCTTAATTACAACATTCCTGCAGGTTAAAACTTTTTTTCTTAGGCTTTAGAGCTCCCCTAAGCATCTCTGTCAGACTAAATCTTTCACCTGATGAGGTGTGAATAGTTTTACCAAAGGGAAGGTTAAGCATCAACATTATTCTAGTTTTAATAATACTGAATGCTTATATAGCTTTTTTTTTCAGTAAAAAGGGGTTTTGGCCCTTATAACAAACAGAAGAATGATAAATGATAGCTAAATGCCAAAAATCTTCTTCTTTTCAGGACTTTTTCAAGTTGTGATAATTATACATTTTTTTTAAACCAGAATTTCAACACACAAATAAATTTATAATGCATTTTCTCTAAATGATTAATTAAATTAATGACTTGTCATTAATTTATATTGACAGCAGGTGGAAGGTTCCCTTTGGCAGTTCCACGTTTAGGAAACTTGTTCTCAGAAGGTTTATAGAGATTAAGAAAAACAGATTATTACACATTTACACTTGGATGTTATCCTTCTTTGTCCAGTGGTAGAAGTACACCCAAACTATCCTCCTGAGAGATGAAAATAAATTGATCAAGATGTTCAAGAACAACCAAAACAAAAAAGGACACTGCTTCCACAATAAGCCTTGCAGCACTGCAAAAACAATCTAGAAATAAGTACAAATGTCTTTAATTAAGTGTATTTACCCTTAATTTCAACAGGTAAATAAGATAATACGGCAATGGAAAGAGCTTTTTTTCCCTTAAAGTAAGATAATTGGATAATATGCACTTGAAATAAGAAATGCATTTTTTTTCTTTTAAGCGTAAATTGTCTTGTTCCATCTGCAACGTGTCTCACTTATCTCCTCAGTTCAAGGCAAAAAAGCAAAAATTTTAACAATTACATATTTAAGTTTCAATTTTTTGCAATGAGACTAGCATCAGTTTGGAGTTGAAGGGTTCTGATCAAGCAGGAAGAAGGCATTAATGGTCAGAAAAAAGCGAGAGCGCATATTATTGCTGATGTGAAAAAGTATTGTGTAGAAATTAGTAAGGCCAATTTTACTGTATCAACTTTTAGGTAAGGTGACGGTAGCATTATGCTATGGTGCGATGGGATAATTATGAGATCATCAGCAAGTTCTTCAACTAAATCAAATATTATCTCCAATTTTAGATGCTTTAACACAAGAATCCTCAAAAAAAAAAACCTTAAAATGACACGAATGAGTAAGACATTTTTGATATTAAACATCTACAGTCATCTTCAATTTCCCCAAACCTCCTATCAATATTGGGGGATTATGCCTAAAAGCCTGATTTCTGATAGGAAAGAAACTATTTTAAAATCGCTGCAGAGGTGGGACTTTTTTTGCTTGTTTCTCCCATTCTTCTTTTGGTCCTTGCATCTTAGACCTCCTTACACAAATTTTACAGGTGCTGCTTTTTGAGTCACCTTGCTGCCGGAATCTAGGAGGGCTTCTTTGGTTTGGAGACCTCAACAAAAAAGACCTTCAAGATTCAGGTGGAAAAATGACTCCAATCAGCTTTGGAGGCTTGAAGAAACAATAATGATTCACTTACCTGCTTTCAAAATATCACCACCTCAAATAAAATAAGTCGGTAGACAACACCTTGGTGTCAACTTTGATTTAGACTTGACTGTTATCCATAGTAATGGTGAATAACTTTGTGGGTTGGATTTTTTTTAGACTATATCAGTAAAAAGTTGATTTACCCAGAATGGCCAGAACCGTGTGATCCTTCAGAACCTCCATAGATCCTGAACAGACGAAGTATATCGCCTGGAGGGCGTCGCCCTGGCGGATGAGGAACTCTCCTGGAGCACAAAAGGAGGTCTTGATGATGAGTGAAAGGGAACGTAGACACCCCCTGCTGGCTGATTCAAACAGGGGCAGCTGCAGCAGCTCTTCATTCAGGTGCATAGCTATGTCGGCTCGTAGCTCATCTGGGAAATCCCTCAGCAGCTGCAGAGAAACCCAGTAGAAATCTATCACTAAATGTGCTTTACAAAGCCTTTAGAGACAATTGGTTCCCTCTGCTCCATTCTTGGACCATTCATGAGTAGGAAGGCAAAATAAACCTTTCACCTTCCCACATATATTCACAACTCATACACACATCTAGAAAACAGTCTTTCACTGGTGAATTCTAATTGTGGGTCAGGTTGAAAAGGATTTTGCTCTGAATTAATTTTTTTTTTCTCGCAAAAACATTTCAGCTTATGATATGTTATTATTGGATAAAGATTACATGAGTGAAATAATATGCAGTTTTAATATTTTTCTACTTTTGTTACCAGACTTTTGATAGCACTATTTGCCTGCACTGTTTGTTTTATATTGTTTTCAGCTGCTTTTTTTTTTTTTTTTTTACTCTTGAGGAACAATGACAAAGTGAGATAAGCCATTAAAATCTAATGTTGATACTGCTGACATCAAATGCTGAAACTACCAGTTCAGGATTAAACGATTTGATAATTATGACTGATAGTTAGGATATTATAAATATTTTTTCACCCTATTCAACGCTGTGAAAACTTATCTCAAAGCTTATCTCAAAGCTAAATGACAAAGCTTTTATGACCATCTGTTTTTACCAATTTTTATTATTTTATTATAAGAGGGAAATACTTTTTTCCAAAGAGAAGGGTTGGTTAAATGGATAAAATCATTAGAAACCTGCTTTTTGGATGTACTTTGGTGATCTTTGTTTGAAAGTGGGCAACTTTCAAAGTTTTTATCAAGACTGAAATTCATGAAAAAATGTAGCAAAGTGTGCATCTCATGTCTGAGGCCATTAATCTGTTAGTTTAAGGGTCAATTCTGGATGATGGGACGAAACATATAACAAAAAATGTCCTCTTCTTTGTGAGGTTTTCAAAACTGAAAACGAAACCTTTCTTTTACTACTTCGAAAGTCAATCGCCGAATGACACGTCTAGGGGAGTTTAAGAAATGGTTTGACATTTCCAGCCAAAATGTGAACATTCATCCCTGCCTCCTACCTCGCTGACATCTATGCCATTGTTGACGGACCAGGTGGTCTGGAAGCACTCCATCATACGCTGCTCCAGGGCTTTTGGGAGCCGATGCACACGGATGAAGTCCTTTAAGTCCTTGGTGCGGGTGTGGTAGAGAGAACGGCGGGAGTACATCCTCTGAATGATGGCGGTCACGTTCCCAAAAACCACAGCATGCATTAAGGCTACAGAGGAGACAGGAAAATGGATAAAAAAGGCTTTAGATAGTCTTGCTTGTAGACAAGCCCATGAATAACGGTTGGTTTTGTTTCTAGTTCAAACCATCTCTGTGTTAATTTGTTCATCAAAACCCTTTCCATAGCTCGCTGTAGGTGTAGTAGTTTTTGCTTTTGATTTCACTGTGGTATTTTAATGGTAGGGAGAACAACACCTATAAGCCACTAATGCATTAAATTAATACAAGTATTTCCATCTCACATGACCTTTAAAGGTCTTAAATGTTGGAGATCAAATGTCAATGGTGAAGCGAGCTGAGCATCCCGGATGTCATATCCCTGTGAAAGAAATTATCTCAGCAGCAGACTCTCCTTTTTCTTCCCCTTTGCCCTGTGACCTCTGGTCCTGATAGGCCAGACACACTGGTCTTCAGCTGTAGACACATTACGTGGCAACTTTTCCCTTGGTAGAAGTCTGATTTTGCAGGTAAAAATCATACTTCTACCAAGGGAATGAACGTAGTGTCCTTTTCATTGTGATTCTGATGTGCTCTGAAGGAGCTGAGGAAAAACTATCCAGTTTTTTGCCTGGTCGATCTTTGTTTGCAGCCTACGGAACAGTTCTGGGCCAACTGTGTCATCGAGGTGCTTCAGCGAAGCACAGAACTGCATCCCACTGGTTCCACCGCACTTTTATTGTATTGCCACTGGTATAAAGCGGCCAGCCAGCTCGGAGGAGACATGCTCATATAGCTTTTGCAATTAATCAAATTAAGCCCTGCAGATCTCTTAGAGATACCTGTTGGACCAAGTGGATTGTGCTTCTTAGCTGAACCAAATCAAACATCGTCCCTTCCTTTCCCCCGAAATAACACACAGAAACCACTCTTTTCCCCTCTTTTTATCTGCTGCTTACCAAGGTACTCCATGCTTGAGCGAGGTTAGAATGCATATTTTTTGCCCGTGTTGTTCATAACTTATCATACAGCTTAAGTTGTTCATTAATGGTCGAAATATGGGTGTAGTTATAGACTCAGACTTCAACCAGAGAAATTCAATCTGAAGCTAACTCTACCCCCAATCACATTAAGAACATCTCCAGGATTAAATCACTGTTCTCAACAGAACTGCAAAAAACATATTCATGCTAGAATTGATTACTGCAATGGTGTCTTCACAGATTTGCATAAAAAGTCAGAAAGCTGCAGCTGATCCACAATGCTGCTGTCTGTGTCCTCGATAAAACTAAGAAAGTAAAGCACTCCAAAAGTTGGAACCCCGGCTCCCTGTCTCTCAGAGATAAGACTTAAAATGCTTCTGTTAGTTTATAAAACACTGAATGGCTTAGCACCAAAATACCTGACAGATTGTTGTTAGTGTATCAGCTGCCCAGGTTTTCTGGCTCAAATCTACTCAAAATGCAAACGCAAACCAAACATAGAGAAGCAGATTTTAGGGTTTCAGTTTTCTGATATTTTATTCCTGATTAGTAGAGCAAAAAAAACTAAGATTAAAATCAAGTTTAGAAATGGACTTGGCTATGAATGTGCTATCTGAGCATTACTTATTCAGTTTACAGTCCAACTTTTCCTCTTTTTTGTCTAACATTTTGTTAGTTTTTATACTCATTTTTAGTCTCTTTAGGTATCGTGCCACTGCAATGTACTTTTTTTCCCTTATGTGTAGCACTTAGACTCTTCATGCTAATGAAATGTGTTATATAGATAAACTTTACTTGTCTTTAGACCTATGACAGTATTTGTCATGGTCTTGCTTCTGTTAAGTTTTCTTTTGAGTATTTAGTTTCACTTTGATTCATGTTTTTCTTTGTTGCTCTCTTGTGTTGGTCCCCTTTTTCCCTAGCTCCCTTCTAGAATCCTTTATTCACACCTGCTCCCAATCGACTCATTAATCCTGTCTTAGTTCAGTCTCCCATATCTACTCTCCCTGTGCAGCTCCCCTGTGCTGGTTCCTCATCTTTTCCTGGCTCCTCATGCATGTTTTCCCTGAAGTCTCCAAAGTTCTGTTTTGTGTTTTTTTTCTATACTTTTTCTGTTGGTGTTTTTGGATTCCTGCCTCAGTAGCCTTTGAGTACTACATTAAAACTACAAGACTCACCTCTGCCTCATCGCCTCTGCATTTGTGTCCTCAAAACCTTAACCAAACCCTGACAGTATACATTTCCTAAGGATCAAAGTTTTCTTCCAACCCCTAAGAGAAGCACTTGCCATTTAAAGCAAAGCTGCCTCTACCATCTCGGTCCTGCCCATCTCACAACTCTGTTGTATCATACTAATTCTTAAGGCTGAGAAAAGTCTGAGTCTTATTCAGGCTAAAAAAAAACACATAAGCTAAAAACAAGAGGTTTCTGCCATGTGCAGATAAGCCGTTAAAAATCCACTTTAGCGTCTTTCCAACTAAAAATACTGTTAACTGCCTTAATGTTTAAGGTGTTTTTTTTTTTTTTTTTTATATGGGTCGACCAGCTAACAATCCCCTTTTGGCTCCCTTTGCACTGTCAAAGAAAAGCTGGGTCTAACCCTTAGCTGGCAAGATGCGTGGTCTCTGTCCCCCCACGGCTGCGAGTCTGGTGACACCAGATTATGCTGTCACCAGTGCTACATAAAGTAAAAAAATGGGGAGCAACATATAAACATTCTTTATTGTTTCACTCTTTTATATGTCCCAAACCCTCTTACTAGCGCTGTGCCATGTTTAACGAATGTGAACAGAGTTGTTTCGGCTTGTTGGATCAGACGTGGCTGGTGCGGTGTGTTGACACCATATGATGTGCTCAACTGTGTCGTCCAGGTGAACCCAGGTCTGGTGTTCCCACAACATGCCGGTCAGAGCCAAAGTGATTATAGCACAATTCACCTGCTGAGTTGTTTGACCTGGGTAGTCATGCGTCAGTGAGCTGTTCCCACTGCCACTAAAAGCCAATTGTACCTGGGTTTAAATGGGTTTTCGGGTAATGGGGTATTTGTCTAAAATTTGAGGCAGAAACTGTGTGCGCTGCCTCCCATTACCTCTCCTTGATCAGATAAACTGGGTGTTTAACAGGGCAGGCACAGCATGGCTAAGGTAGGTGCTTCCTAGACGTTCCATTATTGGGTAGATACAGTATCATCCATTTGCTTGTTTAACAAAGTTAATTTTTGCATGATATCAGCCCTTTTCATGGCATAATTTTCTAAATCCTAAAAACACAGGGAAAGTGTTAAGGTTCAGCCCACCTCCAATCAGCATGGTGCAAATAGAGAAGATCTTCTCAGAGTCTGTGTTGGCTGAGACGTTCCCAAAGCCCACGCTGGTGAGGCTGCTCAGAGCGAAGTACAGCGACGTGACATAGGAGCTCCTTACCGACGGCCCCCCACTCAGCATCATCCCTGAGCCATTCAGCTGCCTCACCCTGGTCCTGGTTCCGTTCCACAGGGCTGGACCCCCCACACCGGTCTCATTCAGATCCTCCAACCCTGAAGTGTTCCAGTGGCTGGAGTTGGCTGCTTTCACCGTATCCTGAGGTGAATCTGACAGTCCCAACAGGGAGGTGAGAGGAGTCAGGAAATAAGGAGTCCCCAAACGTTTGGCCAGTTCATGGAGCCAGCCTGAGGAGAGAACAAAGACCATCCAGAGGAGATTGTCAGTTTATTCAGAAAACTGAGGTGACCTTTACCTGAAGGCCTTACAGTGAAAACAATGTTTAAAGGGTAGAAATAACTCTGTGCTTGTGCATTTGGATGGACACTTATGCTTCCTTAACATTTCAGTTTCACCTTTCATGGCTTGTGGACACAGCTCCCATTTCCATTAATGTGAAGCTGCAACAGTATAACAGGCTTTAAGTGAAAGGCAACTGGACTTTCAGTCTTTTTACTTTTTCCTGAGGATGTTTCAACATGGCTGCTCAGTGGAGTAGTGGGCAGCACTGCTGCCTTGCAGCAAGAATGTTGCGGGTTTGATTCCTGGCCCGGGGTCTTTCTGCATGGAGTTTGCATGCATTTCCCCCTAAGCATGCGCGGGTTTTCTCCAGTTTCCTCCCACTGTCCAAATACATGACCGTTAGGTTAATTATTCTCCTTAAGCGTGTGTGTGAATGGTTGTTTGTCCTGTTTGTTTCTTAAAGGTTAGTTTTCAAGAATATAGCAGCTACTTGGAGCTTTAACCAAACTCCCTCAGAGCTACAGAACATATATAAAGTCACCACATACTATCCAAGATTACAATGTGCTTCCCAGAAACATGAAAACTAAAATGTCAGTGCTTCGGAAGTTAGGGTTGGTGTTTTTTCAAGGTAGCTAAAGAAAAGTACCTGGTAAGAATCCGTTTCTATTAGATAACTGAGAAACTTCAGAGTGCTGGTCATCCAGATGTTTTGTATCTCTTTAAAACTGCACCCATTTCTTTCCACTCGTTTCTAAAATTTAAAAAAAAGTATTTCTTAAAAATATAAAAAATAAAGTTGTAAAATTTCCTATTTATATTTTAGATTCACAAAATATAAAAAGTATGTCATGTTTCCGTTAGTTCGAAAAGTCTCTAAGTATGGTGAAATAGAACGTTAAATTCTATGGAAGTTGTAAACCGAAAAATCTTTAAGCTAAAGTGTATACACTAAGATTTGTGAATAATCTGGTAATTTCCAAAAAGTACTTAATATAATTTGGTTAATTAGTCCCAGGAATGTGTCTTTTAATACCTGAAGTAGTAATTTCTAAGTGCCTGTAAATATTGAAAAGTAACTTAAAAGTTAGAGCAAAGTTGATCATTACCATTATTTTTATCTGGATTTACTGATTAACACTGAATAATTTCTGTGCTGTAGACGGTAAAGTACCGTACTCTTCCTGCTACTACATGGTAATAATTCTGGTTAGGATTATGTGTCCGGATGTTCTGAATACATTCAATATGCACATGGAGATGATTTTCATTGGTAATTCTGAGTGTGGCATTATTTAAAATAGACTTTCTCAACATTGTTGCAGTATTAATGCAGCTAGAGGGGTACCAATAAAGGCTCCTGAATGTCTAATTGTGTTTTGCGATCTTTTAAAAGCTTTGCACACACATACTCATTAACACTGAGCGGAGTAGCAGAGCGCTGCTCATCGGAAGCACTTTTATCTTGCTCAATTACACACCCTTTGATTAATGCCCGACCCTCCTCACCATCTGCACTGCAACTCGCCCCCAGTCTATGGCCATATTTGCATCCAAGCAGAGAGCTTTGCATTTGTTTATGACTTTTTTTTTTATAGATTTGATTCAAATTCCTTGAGCAGGATAGAAACTACCACATCCACCTCGCAGTATTGTTGTTATGCACTGGTGAGCACAGTGGGAGAGGGAACGGATCTCCTGAATTAGAAGTGTTTTCTCAGGAAGGGGACGAGAAAACACAGAATGCCTGTATGCTCTACTGCAAAACAATCACTTGCTTCAAACTTTGTAGGTTTGGTCAATTTTTGTTGATGCAGTGTACTTGTTTGACTCCGCAATACGGTAAAAAACTCCCCTGAAATATAGATTTTTGTGAACTTAAGTGTGGTATTGCTTCTAAAGTGCCTCTGTAAGACAGAGACTGAAGTGTTGATAGAAAAGCCTTAACCCTTATATTATGTTGAAAAAAAATTACATTCATTATGTTGCGGGTCATTTTGACCCGCACTGTGTAAATACAAGCAAAATAGTCAAGAAAACAGGTTAAACCAATAACCAATTTATTTTAGATTACTTAAACATTAAGTTAAGTGACAAACCATACAGTTTTAATTCACACACTTTATTTAGGTTTAAAATGTTCCCTCTTCACAAATTTTGTTTTTTGAAATTTAGCTTTAAAATTAGCTAGTTACTAATATTTTGAACATTCAACAATTTTAAAGTTCTCCACATGATGGGAAGAATGTAACTGCTTTCTGCAGATGGAATTCATACATTTCACACAACATGTACTTGTTTTACTGTCCTCTCTGGAGGGACAGAGCTGTGATCTTTTCCTCTTCTCTTCACCCGTCTCCACTTTATGTTGGTTGGGTAGCGGGCAGTCTTGCCCTGGCAGCTGTATATTGCTGTGACTTAGTCCAGATTGTCAACTCCTCCTCTGGTTGAGCTATAATCCAGGATCATTTGTGCCTTCAAGTCTTTTCTTGTGCTCAGAGATACATCAGCTTGCATTATATTCATGATAAGAACCTTCTGTTCCCAACATGGTCAGCTTTCTTTTCTGAAGTTCTTCTCCAAACAGGTAGGACATAGAGGTTGTCACAAGTGATGTTATGACTTGCAGCCCTTCATTCATCTCCAGCATGAAACACATTCCCTGATTCTTCTAAGCTTTTCCTCCAGATAGCTTTCCAGTATACAGTATACTTGCATATATCATGCATAGCTGGATTTTGCACCTCAGGTTGCCCATATTATGATATGGGCATTCTGAGCAATGCTAATTGAATCTCTTCAATTCATGTGATTGCAAATCTGGTAGGACCAGGAGTTTTTATCAAATTAGCTGATTATAGTCTGCATCAACTCTGGTGTTGTGATGTTGTCACTCTTGCAGAAGATGATTGCCTCATTCCTGGGCTTTCATCTGTTCGGGGATAATAGAAGACTCTTCCTCTGAGTCCATCTCATAGTAGGAGAATTGATCATGTGGGTCAACAATAACTTTGTCTTCTGATTCTGGAATATCCTCTGCCTTAGAAACCTCTTGCTCTACATCACTATCCAAGTTCAAAATTTGTGAAAAAGACTACTCAGCTGTAATCCTTCAGGAGCTAAGTTTTTGGTGAGTTTTTTCATATAGATGACGTGAGAGCAGTGACAAGAACTAGTGTAAGAAAGTTCCCTCCCTTACCACACCTGGGTCTGGGTCTCAGAGGCAAATGAAAAGAGTAAGGTACATCAAAGAGCCATTTTTATTTACCTGAATGGCTACTTACCCACATTAAATTGTCCGGGTCAAATTGACCCATAACATCATATTTGTATACATACTCTGCACAGACACTCCACTATACATCAGAGTGGCCAGATTTTACATACATGTTCATGACCCCAGATGAGGAAAAGTCACCAAATTTCATGAAGAAGAAAAAAAGATAACCAGTACTTTCATCAACACAAAAACTGAAATGGGTCAAATTGACCCTTAACATAATATAAGGGTTAAAGATCTGAGTAGGAAAAACTGAGAGGCTTCAAATTAGTCCTCACATGATGATGAGATTTTACTACATCCATGCATGCATATATGTTGAAACAGAGAGACGTACCTACGTCCCAGGAGGCGGGGTTGTTACTCTCAATCTCGCTTCTCCCGATGAAGTACCAGACACAGGCCATCCAGTGGGCCAGGAGGGCGAACGTAGACATGAGCAGGGTCAGGACCACAGCACTGTATTGAGAGTAACGGTCCAGCTTTTGCAGAAGGCGAAGAAGCCGAAGAAGACGTACAGTCTTCAGCAGGTGAACCCCAAATTTCTGAAGGGAAGATGTAAACCCATTAAAAACACTTATTCGTTACCAATGGTTGGAGAAGAGACAATTTTTGCATGACTTTAATCCACCTTGAGGCTGAAAAATGTGTTAATCAGAACGACTTCCTGTGTAAAATTAAACTGTTAAGTAGTCAAAGTGCTTTATATGCTTGCAGCAGATAAAATATGCACAGTATTACATTTGATCAAAAATATATTTAGGTTGAAACAGATGGATGCTATTGCTGGTTATCTTAGCTGCAGTGTCCTGTTTATTTAACAGCTGAATTTGAATTACAATAGATGGGGAGATGGATTTTAAATCAGACCAGCTGGAGAGCCAATTCTCCACAGGTTGCTGATTTTTTATTTTTTTTCCCCAGAATTTCCATGTCTACCTGAAAGCTGCTGCAGGCAAAAAGCACACAAGCCCTACAAGAAGACTTCAAACAAAAGCTGTCATTTTTTTCTCAGAAAAGAATGAAAGAGCTGTTCTCCGAATTCGGAGCGGCGTTATATATAGCCATAGATTCATTTCTTAGAACACTTTTTTCCCATTTCATAATCTTAAGGTAATATTACTAGCAGTAAACAATTAACTCATAAAAAAAGGAAATAAACAGAAAACACTTGTAGTTTATATTTAGGAGCAGTTTCTACATTTTATCAAATAAGTGAGTCCTTAATGTTTTAGAGACTGCATGCCAGATATCAACCTCAAGTAATTAAGTGGATAGCAATTTTTATGTTTTAGACAAATATCTAAATTCTTGTATTTATACTGTATTTAGACTCTACATTTTAGTTTGTATAATCTCCAGGCTTTGGATTGTCTATAACTTTTTACACCTAAACATGGGAAATCCTTTCACCTTCTTATTTGCAGACTCACAATTCTATTATTAATTAAAATGATCAATAGAACTTAAGACTTTGAATGAGCCATTTTATCACCATCTCCAGTCTTTTACAACCTTGTTCTCTTTCAGGACCACTCTGTGCGTGCTAAAAAAAAATGTCCCACAGCATGATGCTGCCAACACCGTGACTTACATAGGTATAGTGCTTTCTGAGGCTAGTTTTCCTGAATTGTGAGCAGGACAGAAAGCTTGATTTTCCTTTCCAAACATGGCATGAGGAATACTGCAGAAATTCAAAGCAATAAAGGTCAGGTTAAGCAAGCCCCTCCCCTGAGCTGTGGGTCTTTGCAACCCCCCCAGCGTTATCATGGCTGCATTTTTAGATTTCTATTTGTAGAATTATACAAAGCATTCTTTATTTCTAGTTAAAAACTGCTCTACCTTCTATCAATTAGACAGGTGTGGATTTGTTATTAATTTTTTTTATTTTACCTTCATTTTACCAGGAAAAATATTAATTGACAGATTGAGAATCTTTTTTACAAGGATGTCCTGGCCAAGAAGTAAAAGAAGCACGAGGTGCAAAGACGGTATTGCATGTACATAGGAGTTATTCATTAAAGCATCACTAATGTTAAATGATTTAAAGCATAAAGAAATGAAACATGAATTGAAATTTATTTTAGCGTTAAATACAGAATATGCTATAATTCTCCAATTTGTAATAATTTGATGTAATTTGATTTGATGAGCCATTTATTATGTAGAGATTGAATACATTTGGTGATGCTCCACTCAATTCAGTTTGCGTTACCTGGAGCTTGGAGCCGACAAGTCTCCCGAGAATCGAATGGTTAATCTAGTTCTCTTAAACTGTAATTTCTATGCTAAATCCTCATGTATCAACCTAATCACCAGATAACTAATAAGGAGTTGCAAGATGGAGCCTGAAATCCTGTTTTATTTTAATTTTTTTCTGCCTTCAAGGGACTCCTGTGAAATAACTTTACAAAGAGCTGGAATTGAGGAAAATACAGTCATCTATAGACTAATTGCATGCACTTCATATAGTTTTTGTTGCCATGGCTTCAGCTGAACATTTGCAAGCTCTTTTAAAGTAGGCTTAAATCAATGGCTGTTGAGTCAAACAGCAGGGGGGGTGCTATTGTGTGTGTGTGTGTGTGTGTGTGTGTGTGTGTGTGTGTGTGTGGGTGTGGGTGTGGGTGTGTGGGTGTGGGTGTGTGGGTGTGTGGGTGTGTGTGGGTGGGTGGGTGGGTGGGGTCAAAGTCAAAGAGTGAGTGTTTGTAATCTATAGGTCTGTAGGTTTGTGGATGGGTATTATACTCACCACACTGATGTTGAAGGCGTAGAGAAGGTCAAAGGGCAAAGCTGCGATCAGATCCACAAACAGCCAGGAGGTGACGTAATGAATGCAAATGGAGCGGGGATCGTACACCACCTGACCAGACGTGCTAACATAGGTCGTTCTGAAATTTAGGACGATATCTGTAACATAAACGCAAAGCATCAACAGCTGAGCAATGGTTTATACTTGACTGTTAATTCTACACAAACTATTGGGAAATACTGCTGTTTATTTATAAAATTTAACATAAACACAACATACGCACTGGGTGGACATGGCTGACGCTCTGGCACTGTGAGGTTAACCAAAATTCCCGCTCTAAATCTGTATATTAAGTATCTCTCCGGAAGGAGAAAGTATCTTTCCTTGTATTTATTCAGATACTGGAAGTTTCCTTCCATGTTGGCCCAGATTACCCATGAATAACGTGGGGGTAAAGAGTATCCATCCAGCCTAGGAGTTTGTTACAGATGGGATGTGAGCTTGACCTGGTTTGTAAAATTGTACTGGGAAATAAATCACTCAGACAGTCAACAGCATATTCTGACAATGGGGGTCGTTTCGAAGGCCAGGGCTAATGGATAACACATGCTGCATAAACTGTACGGTTCTTCAAGGAAGTCTGGCTTCATGGTTGTCTAACAAATCAGCATAAGATGTGGATGGAAGTACAATCAATCATAAAGAGTTAATCGAGAATGAAAAGGTTGTTTTTCTGAGCCAAAGACACCTTCTATAACTGAAATTCCTGTTTAAAGCAAGAATATCAATGTAATGTTTGTACACATAGCTAAAATATCACAAAATGCGATAAGAGAAACCCAAACCCGGCTTACCAATGATGAAAAGTATCTCCACCAGGATGTCGCTGACACTTGGAGGGTTCCTGGCTGCTGAGACACCATCCTCTCGTATCTCTACGGCAGTGAAACAGACGTTGTAGGGAACAGTGACGGCTACATAGAATGTGGCCAGAAGGATGAGCCAGTCCCAGCCAGCCTTGAATGCACCATAGTGAAGCAGGATGAAGCGCGACTTTTGGATGTCAGCCACCTTATACTCCGGAATCGGGTTAGCATTGGCCCCAAGAACGCTCTTGGAACACAAAGGGAAGAACAGTCAAGATGTATTGAGGTTAAAAATTAGTTCTGTGAATGTTTGAAAATGTATAATTTACTATACACTTTAATTACGCCCACCAAAGCCTCCAAACTTATTGACTTGGCTAACAGCGCTAAGTAATAGAACCCCATTAAGTAGTAGCCATTCAAAATTTCTACATATTCCTTGATGGGCCCTTGGCTAATCCTTGGCTGTTCCCCTACAATTCCTTTTTAAACATTAATCTTTGTACTAAAATATTCTTTCTGTCATGATATGTGTAAATTAATTTCTAAATAGAAGCATCATCTTCTGGTCAGACCCTGTAATTCAGTGAAAGGGTGGAGTCAGAGTAAAATAATACGCTGCCCAGGAAAAGGAGGAGCTCACAACACTGGCTGGGAGTTAAGAGGGGATTTTGCTTGGAGTTGTAAGGAAGTGGGCTGCCATTCAGCTGGCATTTGACTGGGAAGGGCCATTTTGAATGGCTCCTACTGTACCCTTACGGTATGTCTCACATTGTTGATCTTCAGTTTGCTCTTGGTCTTGTCCTGTTTCTGAAGATGTCCAGACAGCTGATAGAGGACAGCTCGACTCCGCCGGCGCTCCATGTTGCACCCTGGAGGACGGCTGACGTGACGGATCTCAAGGCCCATTTCCTCATCTGTAATAATGCACAGAAAATATCTATAAACTGATTTTATGTGTCCTAAACCAGACCATCATAGGTAGGAAACAAAACAGAGAGATTAGAAAATTAAAAGTCAAAGGAAATACAGTTTGAGGATTACTGTTGTTCAGCTTAAATGTGCATTTCTCAAGCGGAAAAAATATCAGTACATTTACTGTGAAACATTTGCTAAATGTTATTGGCCAGGGAGAAAGAAATTAAGAGTTTTAACTAGTGTTGCGCCGATGCCATTTTTTGGCCCCGATACCTGGCTCTGCAGTATCGCCCGATACCGATACCATAATAAAGTAAAATTATTGCCATCATGGCTTTGTCAAGCTGCTGCCTACCTTTGTGAAGCACTAAAAAATCTAATACAAAGTGAATCCAGTAGAACTTTTTATTGCCTACCAGGAGTGGGTGACAATAGTTGAATAAACTTATGGCTCTCAAAATGGTATCGGTGCACTATTTTTTTGGTACTCGCCGATACCGATACCACCATTTTAGGACAGTATCGGGGCCCCGTCCGATACTGGTATCGGTATCGGTGCAACACTAGTTTTAACTGCTTTGTAAGTAATTCTTGGTCTTATTTTTATCATAATTGCTATAACTACTAACTTTTAGATATAAGTTTTCAAGTCCGAATCGCCCTATACCAAAGGTAACGGTAAAATATGCTGATCCACCATAAAGCCATGATGGGTTTTCTTAGTTATTTGAAGCCAGTAGCTTTGATTTCTTAAAATTTTCTTTTACCATTTGTAAGGTTTCCTTCATTAAGATTATCAGGGCTATTGACCCACTTTGAAGAAGAAACCTTAGTTTAGCTTAGATGATGTCATAGTCCATTACTACTATTAAGTTATCACCTTTATCTTAAGACATCGATTTATTCATCTTATTGTCTCACGTTATAATATATCAATATGATACATTTTACAATACATTAGTGTCATCTACCCTGATATCCATATATTTTCCTCTTAATCAAACATGGCCTTGTTTAATAACGTCCCTAAAATTTTATGGGTCTTCCTTTCAACATTTCCGGGCATAGCCTGATGTTCAAATTTTTTTATTAGCATTTTTATAATTTGCATTACAAAGGGATTAACAATTATGACTAACAAGAAACCAAGCAGCTTCTGGCAGAGAATGTGTAACTCTTGACAGTATGGAGAAGGTCTAGGAATTGGAGCCATAACAAATTAATCACAGCTTCAAATCTTGCAATCCTTTCTAGAAACAGAATTGATATGGTTTGGGGAAAGAAAAACCTAGAAGGAAATGGTTCTGTGGAAAAACAGACTGTGAGAAGTTTGTGTTTGAGGATCAGCATTTGGTTCATGCATTCATAATTTAGGGCTCCTTTGAGCATATTTTCTTTTCATCCCATTGTAGTTCATAGAAATCGGAGAGAAGGCATAGACTAGACTTCCATGTGTCCTACAAGTCCTGTATTCTAACTGGGTTTGCCAGGAAAGTATTTGGGTTTTCTTGGGATTGTAATGGGTTTATTGTAGCATTTTAGGATGTCAATGCGCTAAAATTGGACTCAAACTTAAAAGCACTTTGCAGATGTAAAACGTGACAAACTTCATATTTGAAACAACTCACAACCTATAAAAACACCTGAGAGAACAACCCAATAAAAGTCTAACTTAAATTTGAACAACATATAACCATCTTTAAAATATGAATACTTCTCAATTCCGTATTTCTGAGGTTTATAGGTTTTTATCTTCCCAAATAGTCATCGTAATAAAACCTATACCGCAAATCTCCACAGAATCATTTAGTGTGAATTGTAGTGGAAACTGATTTTTCTCCATTTTCTTGCTCACCTGGATCAGAATCATTTCCATGGTCCAGGTCCTTATTCTGTGTGATATCCTTATGCGAGACCAGGAACAAAACCACCTCGCTCTTCTCATTCTTGATTGGAACGATGTCCAGCAGACACCAGAACTTGGATCCTTTTATTATAGAAAGTCAAATATCAACATGTCAGTTCTTAAAAGATATTTCAGTGTCAAAGGTGTGTCTTTTCCCTCCCCCGGTGATGCTGCCTTACCGCTCTTCTTGTACAGAACAATCTCTGTCTTGAACTCCCGCCGCTCATCCAGAGCCTTTTGCATCTGTGAGGTGATGAGGTCGCTGGTCTCGCTGCCGTACAGGAAGTGACACATGCAGCTCTTTTGCATCAGCTCACCACGGGCAAAGCCGGTCAGCTCGCAGAAACCATCGGAGCAGTAGACAATTGGATAGACAGATTGGACCTGTGCATTTCCGAGAACGAAGTTACTGTCTGTGTACAGAGAAGGAAAATGAAGTACACACAGAGAAAGGACAGAGGATTAGTACATACACAGGTCTGCAACAAAACATTTATAAAGCCATTTCTAAGGCTTATTGATTCAAAGTGAGAAGAATCTTTCCATCATTTGACTCATGACACAAAAGGTCTCATACAAATTATGTAGCATGATCTTAAACCGGCCAGTGAGGCTGGATTAAAACAAACCTGAAAAACAAGAACAGACCAGAGTTCCTCTGGATTGATCTAAAAGTTGTATAATGGTGGTTTGCACCCCCAAGAGTGGAACTTCCATATAATAATTTCTTCTATACATTGGGCCCAATTTTGTTTGATTTCGTTGCCTTCCGATTATTTGGGGCCAGGTCAGAGTGGAAGCAATCTCAGCAGAAACTCTGCTGGAGGACTCCTCCAGCTTAACTGGGAGGAGCAAAAGGTGTTTCCAGGCCAGCTGAGAGACATAGTGTCTCCATCATTTCCCTGGGCTTCCTCTTCCTGGGGCATCCAAAACAAAAACGATAAGCCTGTCCAGGATGACGCACCTCCTCACCCTACCTCTGGGAGAGGTACCCTGCAGACAAGGCGTATCTCGTTCTGTTGATCCTGATCTAGATTTCATGACCATAGGAGAAGGTGGGAACCTAAACTAAATGGTAAATCAAAAGCATTGCCTACGCTATGTAGCGTCCGCATTGTAATGGGAGTAACACCTATCTGACAGCTCTCCATTCGCCCCTTAAACAGGACCCCAATATACTCCTTGAGAAGTCACCTTAAAATACATGGGTTTCAGTGCTCGGGTGATTCGAGAGGCTAAGTGCAGGGAAGGGTCTGTCAATGCAAACGGCTTCTGAATAACAGTTCAGAAAAAGAACTGATCATAAATCCCTTATGATTGCCCGGTAATGCAGAGCCGGAACTTCACCCTGGAGCCAGGCCTGGGGTTTGGGTTCATCACTGAGCCACTGGTGGTCAAGTTTCTCCTTGTGGGACCAGGCCAGGCCAAACTGGAGTAGTGATGCGAGAACATCTCCAAGTCAGCCCATCATCTGAAGGGGGGAACCATGTGGCACGGGTGCAAAGAGGATTGGGCAGCAGTCCATTGCAGAGGCCTTGGCGACCTAATCCATGGACATTTATATTTAATATATGGAAACCAAACTTGATACCACATGGAAGAGTTTTCTTTGTCTGCTGGTGAACAACCCGACAGGGAATGAGTTACAGTAGTCATATCTGCAACAGATTACACTCAAAACAGCAGGATTTAGCTTCACTCGCACCTTTAAACAGCTACTTGGACCAATATAATGCCAAACAAGGTAAGGCCTTGATAATTAAATAAAACATTACCTTGCTTCATTAAGGAACCCGTTAAAGAGCATCAGGGAAGAAAAAAATCCCTCTTTCCACAAGACACGCACACTTCTAAAATGTCCCTTTTTTTGTTTTTGCTTTAGTTGTAAAAAGATTGTGTGCAGCTCTGATCCACTGCTTTGTGCTTTGTTTTCTCTCCATTAATATTATTCTTCTCTTACAAAATACAGACACTCTCTTGTATCTGTTATTATACCAATGCTTCCTCTGTGGTCACAATAACCGCAGAAATCTTTGCAAATAAGTTTGCACCTGACTTACAAGCATGCTAAACAAGAGTCTGCAGCTGCAGTTGAGTTTCCGATTTGAAAACTCTCCATTCATGTGGTAAATATTCACATTTGCATATCCTGCAACCATAAATTTGCCTGGATGTGTCGTTAGACTATGATCTGCATACTGATGAAGGTACTCAAGCAAAAATGGTTTGCTGGCGTTGTCTGCTGAATTACAAATGCAAATCACTTTGTAATTTCTTTGAAGATCTGTTCTCCATGTACAAACAAGTTTGCACGAGTTTGGAGACAAAAATGTGCCTTTTTTTGTCCTGAGAATATATAAACTTCTGATAATCTGAAACAGAAAAAATCTGTAGAGGAGGGACACATTTTATATACTGAACATTTCTTAGAATTAAGGTTTCCTTCTGCTTGTTATTAGACAAGGCCAGTTGTATGAATGTGGAGCAGTTTTGGAGTGCATTTTTAAAGAAAAATTACACTACTCGCTCAGTTGTTTTTACGGTTCATGATTTATTAAGCCAAGAGGTTTTGACCTACAATTTCCTGAAGATTTCATGCTAATTCACAGGATACATTCATTCATAGCCTCCTTTTCACTCTCACTCTGTATTTGGGTCTAAGCCCTAGAGAGTAATTGATCTCTCAATGAAGAGGTTTCTTTGAGAAGAGTTTAACAAGACTGCAGCTTTCAATGAAACTCATATTACCGTACCTCTTAAATGTTTTCTTCTACTCTTCCTCCCTCTAGTCCCTCTATAATATTTTAATTCAGCAAACCATTGCTATTGAAATCTGAAATAATATTGCTTTGGGCTGCAGAAATAGCCTGCAACTATAAGGCAAAGGGGATATAAAAAGTGATTTATACATGTCAAACGCCTGCAGCTTACATATTAAAATTGATCACAGGGTTTCTACAAAGATTTGAGCAATGGATCATCATGGGGATTTGGGAATTATCCATCAAAAATCTCCTTGTATTATATGGTGGTGGTTTTGTGAGTGATATATTGTTGAATATTTATTATAAACTTTCTCACTTATAGAAAGGATGTTATTTCTGTTTCATTAATTCACTTCATTTATACAGTGTCTATTCATACCCATTGCATCTTTCCACTTTTTACAGGTATTACAGATGTTTTTCCATCTTACTTTTTGTAAAATGGTTTAAGCTTAGTGAGATTGGAAAGAGAAAATTATACAAAAACTTTATCTCCAGTCTTGCAGAAATGTCTCAATCCAGATCTAAGTGTGTGCTTCATCTTAGACGATCTAACGCATGCTTATTACATCTAAACCACTCAACTGTAGCTCTGGTTGCTTAATGTCTTCGGTTTCAAACAGTTCAAACATTGATGTTACTACTTCAACCTGCTACAAAACTTTAAATTAGAGCAGGGACATTTAATGGCAAGACACACAGAATAAAATGATCAAATTTAGTAAACACAAATACAGGTAATTATTGATCATAAAACGAAGAACTCAAATGAGAGGAATCTGTTTATTGTAAAAGAGGAAAAACTGTGGAATATTAATTGCATAGATGATAAGGAACACTAATTCATATGTTTCCATCATTTTCCATAAAGAAATTAATTGCACCTCACTAAAATGATCTAAAGCCCTGGTATGACTTAGAAAGTCAAGAAATTTCAATGCAAAACTGATTTAGATTTGGATCTAGTTTGGAGCAGCTCTTAAATCTGATCCAAAACAGCCACACCCTTTCTATATCAAACAGCTATTTATATATGTGTAAATTACATGATCAACAACAGAGAGAAATTGCTGATTATGCGCCCCTTCACCTCTCCCCCACAACCCTTTGAGATCATGTGGTGGTGTGTGTGTGTGTTGGGGGAGGTGGAGGTCTACGCCCTTGACTGATTGCTTTCATTTGAATCGCGTGGTCATCTGTTTGATGGGGAGAGCCTAAAGATAGAGAGGCAGATAAATCAACTTTCAGGAGCACAGAAAGTGGAGAAAGACGAAGATCTGGCAGGGGTTATTTAAGCAAAATCATTTAATCGTTTATGCATTGAAAGTATGCATTAGTAAGATTTGTAAATTATTTAAAGCTAATAAGTACTGTAATGCTTATTTGACCATATGACTTAGGAGAGAAAATGCAGGCAAAGGGTGAAAGAGACCTTTAATGAAGTTGGATGGAAAAATTAAAACCTAAAGGCCCAGAATGGTGTGATTTTCTCCTGATCACCCATTCACTGTGTCCTGTTGGGGAAAGTGGTGCAGGCGGACATGGCAAGTCAGTCACCAGAGGAAAGAATGTGGAATAGAGAGGTGAGGGTATGGAACTGAGATTACATATGCAATGCATTATTTGAAAGCTAACATCCTGAGATTACATATGTATTAATCCTGAGATTACATACACTATATTGCCAAAAGTATTTGCTCACCTGCCTTGACTCACATATGAGCTTAAGTGACATCCCGTTCCTAATCCATAGGGTTCAATATGACGTCGGTCCACCCTTTGCAGCTAGAACAGCTTCAACTCTTCTGGGAAGGCTGTCCACAAGGTTTAGGAGTGTGTTTATGGGAATTTTTGACCATTCTTCCAGAAGCGCATTTGTGAGGTCGCACACTGATGTTGGACGAGAAGGCCTGGCTCTCAGTCTCCGCTCTAATTCATCCCAAAGGTGTTCTATCGGGTTGAGGTCAGGACTCTGTGCAGGCCAGTCAAGTTCATCCACACCAGACTCTGTCATCCATGTCTTTATGGACCTTGCTTTGTGCACTGGTGCACAGTCATGTTGGAAGAGGAAGGGGCCAGCTCCAAACTGTTCCCACAAAGTTGGGAGCATGGAATTGTCCAAAATGTCTTGGTATGCTGAAGCATTCAGAGTTCCTTTCACTGGAACTAAGGGGCCAAGCCCAGCTCCTGAAAAACAACCCCACACCATAATCCCCCCTCCACCAAACTTTACACTTGGCACAATGCAGTCAGACAAGTACCGTTCTCCTGGCAACCGCCAAACCCAGACCCGTCCATCAGATTGCCAGATGGAGAAGCGCGATTCGTCACTCCAGAGAATGCGTCTCCACTGCTCTAGAGTCCAGTGGCGGCGTGCTTTACACCACCGCATCCGACGCTTTGCATTGCACTTGGTGATGTATGGCTTGGATGCAGCTGCACTGTTCTTGAGCTAATCTGAAGGCCACATGAAGTTTGGAGGTCTGTAGTGATTGACTCTGCAGAAAGTTGGCGACCTCTTCGCACTATGCGCGTCAGCATCCGCTGACCCCGCTCCGTCAGTTTACGTGGCCTACCACTTCGTGGCTGAGTTGCTGTCGTTCCCAAACACTTCCATTTTCTTATAATACAGCTGACAGTTGACTGTG